CTCTTATCTATCATTATCTAGTATTCTATGATTCATCTCACTATCTCTTTCCCTCTCAATCGTCGATCTCCTCTTCTTTCTTACTTATCTTCTTCTCCCTCCCCTACCCTTCCTCTCCTCCCCCTACCCTTCCCATCCATCCCTTGAGACGACAATATTCCTGTTATCTATCATAATCGCATTTCATATGATTCATCTCTCTCTCTCTCTCTCTCTCTCTCTCTCTCTCTCTCTCTCTCTCTCTCTCTCTCTAAGACGTCTCTCTCGTCTTTCCGCTTCTGCCCTCCTATTCTCACCTCTCCATACCCCTCCCTCCCACTCTCCTCTCCCTGCCCCTCAACATTAATGCAGGCGTGGTGTTAGGGAGGCGGGAGAGGCTGGTAATTAAGGGAGAGTGCTGCCTGTGCCTCCTCACCGGGCCCTGGCTAACGTAATGACCAGACGCTATGGTAATGCCTGGGCGCTACCAGCTTAAGTCGCAGTGAGTTAAGCCCCGTGTTGAAGGGGGGAAGGAGATGAGAGAGAGAGAGAGAGAAAGAGAGAGAGAGGTTGTGTATGTCACTAGTGGAAGGAGAACTGGAGGATTATATAAAGAAAGAATTGAAGGAGGAAGTAAATGGTAAGAGATAATGAAGAAAAGAAAGAAATTAATTGGTAAAGGATCACAGTAAGGGATCAGGAAGAACACGTGATACGGAATATCATATGGGAGGGTAAAGGAAGGAAGAAGGGGGCTGGAAGGGTAGTCGGGACGGAGTGAAGGAGGGAGGTAGGGAGCTAGAGTGGTACTTGAGAAGAAAGGATCTACAGGAGAGGGAGTGTAAGAGTTGCGGTAGTGGGTTCATTAAAACCATAACCGAATGAGGTGTAAGAGAGAGAGAGAGAGAGAGAGAGAGAGAGAGAGAGAGAGAGTACAGTTCAATGAAAGAAGCGATCAGATGTTTTGGAAGACTAAATGATATGAAATGAAACAGAACTACACCCAGAACTCTTGTCGACGCCTATTTAAGATCAATTCCAGCGAGTGTCGGAGAGTTTACGACGTGTGTACCTCAGTTGACGACCTCGTCCTCAATGTTATATAGTCGTCGTTGTTGTCGTGGTAGTCGTCCTTTTCTCTGGTACACCTAAACCTTGACCTTGTTTCAACATTGATGAGAATCTCGTCACTTTCCCACAAGTTTCCTGCACCGTGAACGTATTAAATGTCGCTGAAAATTGTGTGTTAGATCATTTTGTATTTTTACGGCGTCATAAGAGGACCACACAAGGACAGATATAATGGGAAATATTTAAGCCAATACTTATGAACGGGTGTAAGGTGTGAACACTTCATGAAGGAAAAAGTGAATAAGATGCAATTCAAGTAAATAATGACCTACTTGAGAAGGAATATGAATATGATATAAGGAATATTAAACGTAGACAAAACAGAGATGCGGAAGTAAATGAAGCATCAGAAAGAAGGTCAATCAGGATCTGTTGAAGTGAAGTAATATGAAAATACATAAAGAATGAATATCGAGAGATGTTTACATTATTTAATTCAGGGGAGGATGATAGGAGATGTAGAAGAGGAGGTGCAAGGATGGGAAGAAAGAGGTACTGGATAGAAGACCGAACATCCAGGAAGCAGCAGTGATCGTGCATGATAGGCGTTCATGGTGTTGAATGGTTCATAATGTTGGACGTGCTGGTGAAGAATGATGGCGGGTTGTTTGAAGCGAGATGGATGAACCGATTGAAGGGGCGACAACATGACAGGACACATCTGTCACAACATATTACATGGGAACCAAAGTTGTACACCTTGGTATTACTATTGACCACGGACCTCCGAGAGATCCGGGTCAGGACTGAGATATCACCACAGCGATTGCGGGAGGTGATTACCCGTTAGGGAGGGCAAACTGTGACAGTCAATGTTAGGTTAGGTTAGGTTAGGTTAGGTTGAAGTGGTTACTCGTATCAGAAAAGGTAGACTGGGACAGTCAAGGTTACACAGCATATACCTAACCCGAGTTAAACCGGGTAATTTTGCAAGTAACAAATAAAACAAGAAAATCCGTAAAACCAATAATGGTTTCCAAACAGAGGAAATTACCCTCCTTTGACCTTTGACCCCCAGAGCGTGACCTGAACCTTCAATAAGGAAGTCGTTCACCTTACATGGTCTTATTGACTTTAACCTATTCGTTAATCATTATCTAAATCCTTCCACTAATTCAAGAGTCAAAGGCGAAAATGACGGAAGATAAGATACAAAACGGTTCACTAGCAAATAATAGATAAAAGCACAAATTAGAAATATATTGATACAAATAGAAATAAATAAATAAATATATTACTCTCCTCTATCGCCTGTTAAATTACTCTCAGGCGGGGAGAAGGTAGGAATTTCTATCTTGACATATAATCAATGTTCCGGGGCGTGGGGGTTGTGGGGGGCTGGTGGTGGCTAGTGTTACGTGATCCTGACACTGACACCTGCTCCTGTGTCATGTCAGGTTGGAGGTCATGGGGGCGGGTGTCATGTGTTTGGGGGTGTTATATGAGGGTGTTGTGGAAGGAGTTACACAAAGAAATTGTTATGAGAAAGAGGAGCCTGGCAGTGTGAACTTATGGGATGGTTGGTGCCATATGGGGGATTTTTATGCGCCGCGGGAGAGTGATAGTGAGTTATGATAGTGAGTGTGTCATATAAATAGGATGTCATGCAAGGAGGTGTGTCATGAGAGTCTTATGTCACGTGTATGAAGAGAAGGGTATCACATGAAGGTATAGGTGTCATATATGGGGTCATTTTAAGAAGGCGGGTGTCATTTGAGATCTGCATGTCATGAAATTGATGCTGGTGCAGGTGTCATAAGAGTAACAACTGTGTGTCATATCGAAGAAGGTTAATATGTTGGAGAAGACTTATCTATCTGTTCCTCCTCAAGCTTCACCTCTTCGTTCACACCCCCCCCCTCCTTCCACCTCCACCTTAAACACCAGCTCCTCCTTCATCTCCACTTGCAATACCCTACATATCCTCCTCCTCCACCCTCCAACACCTCCACTTGCGCCACACCCTTTATCCTCCAACATCTCCTCAACACCCCTCCAATACTCCATACTCCTACACACTCTCCAACATCTCCTCCACATCCTCCCCCTTCCATCACCTTCTCCTCCCTCCAACACCTCCTCCACACCCTCCCCTCCTCCTCCATACTCCCAACACCTCATCACTCTAACACATACAAACAGACTCCACTTGTCCATCTTCAGATGCATTATTTAAATCTTAATGAGTTAAGCTTAGTCCTTCATAAAACACTAAGGGCTCTGCCATACTTGTACTAATGGAGTATGTTATGCGTACACTCCTCGCTGTCAACCCGTTTATTTTCTCCACTAAAGAGATTTGGGGGGATTTTATTCATCTAGAGTCTCAAGTACTCAGAAAAGACTCATAGAAATTTTTGGTCCTTGAGGAGGGGGAGGGCGTGATGCTTAATTAAATAATGTATCTCAAGGGGAGTATCTAACTTTGTTTAAGGCCGTATTGTTGTTGTAAACTGAAATTAATGTTGTTGTTGTTGTAGATGTAATTAAGTTGTTGTTCTTGTTGTAGCTGTACAATTAAATTGCTATTGTTGTTGTAGTTGTAAAATTAAATTGTTGTTGTTTTTTGTATTAATAAAATTAAATTGATGCTGTATATTCCCTTAAATTTAAAGGAGGCGTAACGGGAAACTTGTCAGGTGTTTTAAGTGAAGTGAAAACCAAAGGCGAACTTAACGAAGGAAACAGTTTCGTTTTTCTCAGTAGTTTTAAAAATGCGCGAAACTCGCACCCACACACACCTACGAGAACAACCACACCCACACTCAAGTTCATATACACACCCATACACATACCTACACACTAACATAGGTATCTACATACACGTACACAAACGCACTCACATATACATACGTTCATAAAACATATCCACACGTTCTCACACATACTCATACACAAAAACCCACCTACATATCTGCACACACACTCACACACACACACACACACACACACACACACACACACACACACACACACACACACACACACACACACACACACACACACACACACACACACACAACCATTCATTGATTATTGGGTTCTGATATTTTCCTGGACTCGAGAACATGCGTATCACAGGAATCCCTTGTGTCCGAGGCAGAAAATTGAGAATCGACTGCCATGTTTTTGTGTTGAGTCCGACACGCGTCTCACACAACTCAGCGATTCGTTTCCTTTGCTTATCTCCTTCCGGACTTGCCTTTGGGCCCTTGAGACATGTTTTTTCCTTTTTTTTTCCTTTTTTGTAGGAGTTCTCGTTACAGGATCTACACTGCACCCTTGACAAACACTCACACGAAATACTCCTCTCACAGACTCATGACTGATTCATATTAAGCGGATTTTCTTCTGTTATTTAATATCCACTTTATAGAATGGGAAGCACAGCGTCAATCTCCCACTGTAAACATGATGGTAATGTTTGTAACTGTTTAGGTCGTGTATTGTGATAATGATGACTCTGTGATTAAGATCTTCAGTGGCGTCCTTCACCACACAATAATCTGGGAGGTAATATACTGTACACGCTGATGCTCCTGACTTTATGATATGAATGGTGCCGATCGTAAAGCCCCAATTTCACCACAAGCTAAGATAAACAAACCCTTGTTTTCTCAGAACTGCAATTGTATGACCTCTTCCATTCTCCTGCGACCTTGATGTAGCGTCTTAAATTTTCTCCAACATAAGTTAAAACTTTTGTCTTCTATCAACGACTTATGGAGCAATTCTTCAAGTCTCCTGGATGATGTAGACCTCTAAACGTCTCTACAATACAGAAGTGAACAAAATATTGATCATTTTCCTACTGATAAATGTACAGCCTTCAACTCTTGTTTTTTCGTTATGGGTCTTGTATATAAGGTCTTTTCTTTTCTCACCAACAGATGTGGTTCCTACACATGTTGAACGTCACGAAGAACGATGAGGGAGAGTACGAGTGCCAGACGTCCACACACCCACCCATATCCTTCATGACCTTCCTAAAAGTCCAGAGTAAGTAGCTTGTTAACCCGAACAGCAACGTTAGAGGAGAAATATTGTATTGTTCTGAGAGTTATATACTGTAGAGTTTAACACCATATTTCTCTCAAGCTTTTCGAAGGATACAATTTGTAATGACAAATTTCCGTAGCATTTTGAAGGGGTGTAGATTCTAACAGCACGTGCTCTTAAAGAGTCTTATGAGGGGCACGGGAATTGATGACACGAAGCGATGCCTGAGGAGTGAAAACCGCAAATTACTTTTGAGAAGCAAGAGGCTGAGATAGTTATCTTCCTAAGGCAGAACTGGAGGAAAGAAACACAAACTTTATATGACAGTCAGTTAAAGTGCTAAATACCTCAAATCCCAAGAACAGTTTGGCATTAGATATATTGAGCTGTAAATTAATAAAAAAAATACATCGTTTAGTGAGTATTAATTTAGATATTTGTGGTGGAATCATTATAGGAATAATATATATATATATATATATATACTTTGCACCAATTCCTTAGGTATAAATTGTTAGCGTCAAATCAAATGTTAATTATTTAATACTGAGGAGAAATGAATATTTTCCTTTGTAGTTCGGGTCCTTTACTCTGGTGTCAATACCAAGAATGAGATGAAGCGGTTCAATAGACTTAAAGTTGGCTAAGAACAACAATAATCTGCATACAAGAAAATTAATGTAGGTCGTCTTGGTGTTACTAGTGAGTGATCTTCAGTAAAGGCTAGGGAGAGTCATACTGGTTTTATGGTCTATAATATGAAAGACCTCTTGTATGAGTCCCAATACTAACAGGTCCCCAGTCCTAATGGCGAGTTTATGCTGGGTTGGGGTCTATGAAGTCTTGGTCTTGGTGAGACCCCAACAGTTTTCACACTGCGTGCTCATCAGCCTGACCGTCGTGTGAATTTATCGGTACTGTGCTATTCATAACCTTTATATCGGATCCAGCATGTCTGGACATAATTCAGTCCAGATAAAATATTGCTCTCAACTTTTTTCCTTTGCCATTGACTCACGGAAGAAATCGTTTAACATCGACATATTCACACCCGGCTTTGTTTCGTATTCAATACAGCTCTACCATTTGCACAAGTCAGCTGAGGATCATTGTATTTTTGTCCTGTTGGCCGGAGGAATCAAGATAAATTACTTCAAAAATGACGAGTCACATATCGTTCTTATTGCACCACTGCAGCTAAAACAGGATGAGTTAAAATATCCCTGAACAAGAAATGACCTATTTGTAGCTGATTGATGTAGTGACCGACGTGCAACACAATGACGGATATGTCTGTCAAACATGAACATGCAAGAATTAACCAGAAGGATATATACTCGCATATATATATATATATATATATATATATATATATATATATATATATATATATATATATATATATATATATATATATATATATATATATATATATATATATATATATATATATATATATTTTTTTTTTTTTTTTTTACACTACTTTTGTATCATTGGTAGACTACTGAAAACATACCTGTATATTGATGTACAAAAATACATTTGTTGACCAAAAATATTGTAAAGCACGTCAGCAGATTTCAACAAGCACATTCATTGATGCTGATATTAAGAATATCCACTAATTAAATAATAGGAAGTTACATGTATCAATATTGGGTAATATACTGTAGCTGTGAAAGCAATATAAAAGGTAACTCTTAATCAGCTCCCCATCTCCAGCCAATCATATCTCACCTTAAGAAAATTAGATCTACTGTAGCTGGGCAAGTTAACATCGATTCTATAGTTATTACCCAGAACAGTCTGTACACCGCCCTCTTCGTTCACTAACATCTGCGAGAAAAAAAATTCCAACATCCATCTTCCTTCTCGTGTTTTAGAGGTGAAATTTTTCTCCAGTGGTAAGCTCCTTCCTGTCTTATTCTCCTCCTCCACTATTCTCCATCTATCACCATAGATCATCATAAGCCAGAATTCTCCAGCTTCCTCCTAACACACTACCACCATCTCAATCTAGGCCTTCCTCCTCTCTGACTCCCTTCTCTCCGTCTATTCACCCGCTCTCTTCACTAGCCTTCCTCTCCTCTACCCTTCGCAACTAATCCAATCTTCTGCTATCCAAACTCCTAACACTGCTATCGTTCTCAACCAGTTGTTGTTTCCATATGAAGTCTAACTGAAGAAGGTTGAGTTATTTTTAAACATAGCAAAAGACGACTTAATTCAATGAAATACAGTTAGTTTCGCTTTACATTTGAACTAATTCTCCGAGCCTTTTAAGAAATAATTGTATTTATACTGATTTGACAAAAGAATGCATTACTTGTTTTAAGTTTTAATCTGACAATTATCTCTATAAAAATAATAATTATAATAATAATATTAATAAAAAGAGATAGCAAAATAACTGGGTAGGCTCCATTTTATCATGACACGCCTTAATGAATGTATAAATCAACTGCACCTATTAAGATGTGATATTGCAGTTGCTTGGTGGGTAAGGCGTGTGTGTGTAATAATAATAATAATAATAATAATAATAATAATAATAATAATAATAATAATAATAATAATGGTCTATTGAAAAAATTTCTGCAGCCCGAAGGCCGAAAATATACATTGGATATAAATGACTTATTACATATATTGGTGGTTTAACAAAAGCTTTCATTAGAAAAAAGTAAATGAACATACACTGAACATATAGATTAATGTTTACAGTGGAGGTCACGTAGATCATGTAAGCTGAAGTTTTGAACAGCAGACACGTAGTGTAGTAATTCCTTCACAGATGGTGTTATGAGGGGCATCACGTGGTGTAGTAATTACTTCACAGATTGTGTTATGAGGGACCTGACGTGGTGTAGTAATTCATGTGTGTGTGTGTGTGTGTGTGTGTGTGTGTGTGTGTGTGTGTGTGTGTGTGTGTGTGTGTGTGTGTGTGTGTGTGTGTGTGTGTGTGTATACCTGCATTTAAGATTTGGTGTTTGTGTAGTCCATCTTCACATCTCGACTAATCTAGGCACAAGACCACCTCACTCACCACTAACACTCGTTTATAGTCCTCACTCACACTCAACCAAGCTGAATAAAAAAACAATTATCACTGAACGGCTACAATTACCTTTTTCACTGGCATACAGACGGTAAACAGTCACGCTAGGTTCGTCATCCCCTTGTCAGTAGTGTAGTAGGTCCTCCCAGTTGTATCTTGAAGCGCGACACTACAGAGCGCCTCCCCACCAGAGTTCCTCACACTCTGCGCTCCCACCCGACTAAGTTTACGAGGCCATATACTTGTACATCAACAACCTTATCTGTACCTAAGGGTGCAACCCACGATTCGGAGACTTATTTTATTAATCCATAAATTTTCAATCCGATTTAAAGAGGGGTCCTGGATCTTTACTTTTCTAGATAAATTTGAGGTTATTAAAGGATTGTGGCTTTGTGTCTTGCTTTGGTTTGTATATATGAATATTTTAATAACAAATTATGTTTAAAGAGATTTTTAACATTGTAATTACGACCATCTAGTACACATCACCCTACAATATATAATGCCTTCCTTTTGTATACTGGATATAATGAAGTAATTTTTAACGCTCCATTTAATACCCACACAAGTTATAGCCGAAGAAATTCTACCGTGATATTCGCATAATTTAGTCGAGAGAGTCATTTGTTTTGTTAGCAGTCTCATATAGGGAACCAAACTTAAGGGAATATCTCGGAGTATTCACACACAAGCCAACGGTCTTCATCATTCAGTTGTGAGGGGCGATACTCATCCAGCCATCATTGTCAGCCAAGTTTGGAAGGGTGATAGTCATCCATCGTCTTTAACTCTACAGGGGTTAAGGAGATATATTTTACCACTCCCTTAAAGTGTTCAGGTAGAGATATATAACCTATTTTCTCTTAACCCATTGAGATGTGGAGGGAGAAATTATTTAACCAGTTTATTATACCATCTTGATGTTGGAAGACGATGTTCATGTTTATTATCTGCACACACACACACACACACACACACACACACACACACACACACACACACACACACACACACACACACACACACGCAAAAGAGTGTTAGAGGTAAGATGAAATACTTGGCCTTCTTTCGTTAATGTAAGATTAAAATCGCCATAAAAAGTTGAATCCTCTTCTATACAGTACATTTTTGTTTGCAGGTCCGTGCTTGTTTATTCCAGGGTGGATAGAAACCAAGAGTAAATCAAGACAATTTTCTCTTATTTATTCATCGCCATAAACTCTGTACCTTTCACTAACTCTCTGAATCATCTACAGAGAGAGAAAAAAATCGAATATCCCAGGAAAGGAAGGAAAATTACACAGCTTTTAAGTATAGCCGGGATATCGTAAACAAACTTACTAAAGAGTTGAAACGCCTAAAGCGGAAACTTGATTCTGTACTGACAGTCTTTACATGAAAGTTCGAGAACACTGATACACTCTCTCTCTCTCTCTCTCTCTCTCTCTCTCTCTCTCTCAACTCTGAACCGACATCCAGTAAGGGGCAAAGCCAATGACTTACTTCTGAAAAGACACTTTACACCATAACATGAAGATCTTGACTCCAGAATGGCAGGTTGTACCCAAAATGTCATGCAACTCCTTCATGTCTCTTCAGAATTTTACTTGTGACAAGTACACTTGGATTACAACTATTGGCTCATGTTTCTTGGTCTCGAGTTTACTGCGCCGAGAGAGAGAGAGAGAGAGAGAGAGAGAGAGAGAGAGAGAGAGAGAGAGAGAGAGAGAGAGAGAGAGAGAGAGAGAGAAGTTGAACCAGGGATTTCCTTAAAGTTTCATGCTAACTGGAATGGAAACAATCTCTGCTGACGTGAAGTAACAGATTTTATTGAGTTTTTTATTTATATTAAACATGTAAATCCATGGAAATGTAGCGTATTTCAACTTCCCTGTATATATATATATATATATATATATGATTATTATTTCTTTTTACG